GTAGGAGGAAAAATGCCTGGCATCTTTTGTCAGTAGAAAAAAAATGAAAAAATAAATGCCTCGTCGTTTGTAGTCAATGGAAGCAAAATGCCCACCCACTGGCAGTCAATGAGAACAAAAATAGCCCAGCATCAGGGTTTAGAAAAAATACTGCATGTCAGTGGCTGGGAAAATCACATACACTAGAAATACACTATATTGCCAAATGTATTGGGACACCTGCAGTTACACATATATGAACTTTAATGGTATCCCAGTCTTAGTCCATAGGGTTCAATATTGAGTTGGCCCACCCTTTGCAGCTATAACAGCTTCAACTGTTCTGGGAAGGCTGTCCACAAGGTCTAGGAGTGTGTCTTTGGGAATGTTTGACCATTCTTCTAGAAGCACATTTGTGAGGTAAGACACTGATGTCGGATGAGAAGGCCTGACTCGCAGTCTCCACTCTAATTCATCCCAAACGTGTTCTCTTGGGTTGAGGTCAGGAATCTGTGCAGGCCAATCAAGTTCCTCCACTCCAAACTCGCTCATCCATGTCTTTATGGACCTTCCTTTGTGTACTGGTGTGCAGTCATGTTGGAACACGAAGGGGCCATCCCCAAACTGTTCCCACAAAGTTGGGAGCATGAAATTGTCCAAAATGTCTTGGTGTGATGATGCCTTAAGAGTTCCCTTCACTGGAACTAAGGGGATAAGCCCAACCCCTGAAAAACAGCTCCACACCATAATCCCCCCTCCACCAAAACTTTACACTTGGCACAATGCAGTCAGGCAAGTACCGTTCTCCTGGCAACCACCAAACCCAGACACATCCATCAGATTGCCAGACAAAAAAGTGTGATTTGTCACTCCAGAGAACACGTCTCCTCTGAGTCCAGTGGCGGTGTGCTTTACACCACTGCACCCATTCCATGAATCTCTCTATGCACAGTTGTGCTAATCTGAAGGCCACACAAAGTTTTCTTTAGCTTTTGACTCTGCAGACATTTGTCAACTTCTGCTCATTGCGCGCTTCAGCAAGCTCTGGCCCCGCTCTGTTATTTTAAGTGGCTACTGCCAAACCCAGACACATCCATTGGATTGCCACACAGAGAAGCGTGATTCACCACTCCAGAGAATACATCTCCACTGCTCTAGAGTCCAGTGGCAGTGTGCTTTACACTTGGCACAATGCAGTCAGGCAAGTACCGTTCTCCTGGCAACTACCAAACCCAGACACATCCATCAGATTGCCAGGCAGAGAAGTGTGATTTGTCACTCCAGAGAACACGTCTCCTCTGCTCCAGAGTCCAGTGGCGGTGTGCTTTACACCACTGCATCAGATGCTTTGCATTGCACTTGGTGATGTAAGGCTTGGATGCAGCTGCTCGGCCAAGGAAACCCATTCCATGAAGCTCTCTATGCACTGTTATTGTGCTAATCTGAAGGCCACACAATGTTTGGAGGTTTTTAGCTTTTGACTCTGCAAACAGTTGGCAACTTCTGCGCACTGTGCTCTTCAGCATGCGCTGACCCCGTTTTCTCATTTTACATGGTCTACCACTTCTTGATTGAGTTGCTGTTGTTCCCGGTTGCTTCCACTTGCTACCACTAACAAATGACTGTGGAATATTTAGTAGCAAGGAAATTTCATGGATGGACATATTGAACAGGTGACAACCTATCACGGTACCACGCTTAAATTCACTGAGCTCCTGAGAGCGACCCATTCTTTCCCAAATGTTTGTAGAAGCAGTCTGCATGCCTAGGTGCTTGACTTTATACACCTGTGGCCATGGAGCTGATTGGAACACCTGAATCCAATGATTTGGAGGGGTGTCTCAATTCTTTTGGCAATATAGGGTATATATAAATATGCTTGCTGTATTTGAGGAGCTTACATAGAGATGAATGGAACTGCATGACAAACATAAAAGAGGCTTTGAGAGGTATAAATATCCCTAAATACACAAAATCCCAAAATGTCACAAATCCTTGCACAGTTTAGACAATATTCAAGTGGTTCAGAAGAGAGTAGGTGGTGAACTTCTTCACACCTGTCACTGGAAGGAGGGCCAATACCTCAGTGAGGTGGGCCTTTTAGTAGTATCGAAGAGATGGGCATGCTGGGATAATAGAGGCCAGGACAGACTTTGTAATTGACAGCCTAGTGAACAGACAATTAAGCTTGCAGAGCCATAATAATGTGGAACTAAAGTTCCACTTTTGTTTGTTGTGAGTAGGAAGATTTCATGTCTCTTCTGCAATAAAATTCACGAATGTGCCTGTCTGCAGCGTTGCATATGCAGCCCAGACCACAGATGGTCAGATCCTTGTGTGCAAAAGTTGGCACCAGTGAGGGACAGAACCATTGGAGGAAAGGTGAGTATAAACAGCCTTAAGTTCTATTTTAAACCTGATGAGTGAGATATGTCATTGCCAGCTCACACTTGGTGTTTTTGTAATGATATGTTTTGCCTTACATAATTAGGACCTACCAGAGCATCCCTAGCACTCTGTTGAGCCACTCCGAGTCTGCTCTCACTTTAGGTGTGCTATAAGCCCCATTGAAACCTATTTAAATGTTGCCAAAACTGTGCTAGCAAGAAATGTGGAAAACAAACTCTTACATCCACACATCACCTAACTGCTTGCTGCATACTAACTGTAAAATTACTGCTAGCGGAGAGCAGCTACAGACTCAGCGTGGCCCCTGGTCATGAAGTGGATAAAACCTTTCAAAGGTCAAGTGGTTAAAACTGGATTATTCTGCTGATATTTTGACTTACATTATTTCTTCTCTTATCACATACTAATGGAATTCTTAAATAAAATATTTCTGTTTTCATTACATATTCTATTTTAGACCCAGTAATTTCATCACTGTGCTACGTGGTCCTCTGTGCAATGCAGGCAGATAATGGCTGATGGGAAGGGTGCTATACATAAATTCCTGATAACATCAATGCACTCTTCCTCAGTACTCCTCTCAAGAACTCTCACCTCTGATTAAAGCAATGGGTTGGCTCTTCGGAGGAGTTAAGCGTTAGGAGGGGTTAGGCAAATATCAAAATGCCTTGATGGGAGGTCATCAGTCTGGAGGAGTGGTGATGGTGAGCCTCCTTGATTGAAAGAACCAAATTGCCAATAAATGAAAGGGGCAGGGAAGGTTCAGTAAGGCTGGGGAAGAAAGAGCTAGATGCTGATGGAGGTTTTAAAGCCAGGAAATGAGGCAGGCTACCTGATTTGCTACAACTTCTATTGCACACTGTAAGAAGCTCACAGTGTGTAGTGAAATCATAGTAAACTATTTCAGTACAGGAGAGGTACCTGTACAACTGCGCAAGACTGAAGGTATGGCTGAAGTTCAGCTTTAAATAATTAATTATTTACTAATATTGCTGCTAGTGTGGAAATAAAATATTTTGCAGAGCATTTATCTTGGAGTTACATTTCTGCTATTATTTTTACTTGACAACACTTATTTAATGTAATAAAGCATTATTTTTAGGTGATGACTAAAATTCATCACTGATTTGGTTTCATCCATACAACAACCGAGAAAAGGCAAATGTGTGATATGGAAATGTATATACGTGGGCAGATGAACAAACATATAGGGAGAGTTTATATGTACTATAAGCCTCAATTCCTGCCAAAACTAGTTTTAGTTTTAGTTAAAGTGTGGCAGGGTCAATACCTCTGTCAGCATTTTTGTTGTCTCTTTTCTCATGTCTTTTGACTGGTTTCAGATATAACTGGAGGTGGGAGGCAATCTTCCTATTGCCTGCTATTTGCTGATTGTCAAGAAGGAAAGCTTCTCCCACTTGGGACACATACTGCTATAAAACACATTTTCTGGAAGAGTGAAGGATGAAGTGGAAGCTGTCTATGTTCCAGTGGAGGACATTACTCCTCACTTCTTGTCCAAGTGACAGGTGTCAGAAAGAATAGAAAGAGACAAGAGATGGGGACACAGACAGTGTTTAAAAATTGACAGAAATCTAACCCTTCCCCACTATATCAAAAACTAAAAAAAAGATTTGTTTTGTGTTAGACTTTAAAAGTACAATGTATAGATTATATTTAAATAAATGTCATTTTAATTGATTCAGTTTTTTTTAACAACATCAAAAAATAGAATTGTTTGTGCACTACAAAATTACATAGTAGTAATTATTTATTTGAATAAAAATATTGTTCATGTATTTTATATACAGTATGTTACTATTAACCATGTTAATTATTTCTGTAGTTTACATATATACTATAGAACATAAACACTTCTGCATATTTACTTGTACCCATGACAAATCTCATGTATTTCTGAAAAAAGAAAAACAGCAGTAAGTGCCAAACCTTTACCTGGTAATAAAAAGTGTGCTAAATGAAGATTTTTTTTCACCACATAAAAAGTATACTAAAAGTGTCCTCAAAAGATTTTTCTCAGTTCCACATGAGAGTGTTAAATTATGCATTGTGATATTTGTATCTCCCATTTCAGAATGTGACAGCAAGAATTTAAACTGAGTTGATGCTTACTGCTCCACAGTAGTTGATTCTTACTGCTCCTTAGTGGCTTGTTCTTTTTTTTTTTCCTTTAACTACTCAGAACACCACTGCAAGCAACACATAATTCTCCCTCAAACTAACAGATTAAAAATACAAAAAGCAGTACTCAAATATATGGATTGGTAAGGCTTAATATTGCAGTTCCAAAATACATAAACTGATAAAAAAAAGACATGGTGAATATTTGCTTAAAAAAGGTTTTACGCAATCATGTTCAGAGAGTTATCTTAAATCAGAAACAAAGACTAGGGAGAAAATTACTCTCTTAAATCAGCTCCATAGCAACACCCTTTCCCTATTATTCACCCTTAACTGCATATCACTAGAAAATAAGTGCTCTTTAAACTGTACGTAAACCTTATCAATAAATATCTTGTAGTTGCTTTAACTGTATGTTAAATATGTTATTATTTTAATATTGAAAAGATTTGTTAGATCTGTTTGATACAGGGGCGGACTGACCAATTGGAAACTCGGGCACTGCCCGAGGGCCCGGGGTCAGTAGGGGGCCCCATGAGATGCCCCTGGTACCTTTTTCATAGGCTTTTTGAGTTTTGGCAAGGACACAGGGCCCCATGGTCCCCTATTGCCCTGGGGTCACAGAAGGGGGCCCCATGAGATGCCCCTGGTACCTTTTTCACAGGCTTTTTTGAGTTTGGGCAAGGACACAGGGGCCCCATGATCCCCTATTGCCCGGGGCCCCAGTAGTTGTCAGTCCTCCCCTGGTTTGATAAGTGCAAAAAAGTATGATGATCCTAAAGGAAACTAGCAATCTTTCTGTCCAGTGTTATCTCAAGCATTGTTTTACGCCCTTCTCAATCCACCTATGTTATCTACAGGACCCTACCCCCACATGCTATGGAGAAAAGGAGAGAGGTAGATGTTCTGTAGTCTTAACATACTGCCTGTCCTAGGGTACTAATGCTGTTGCTCTGCAGATGCAGTACAGGGAGTGAACTTTGTCACCCTAGGACATGAAGTGTGTTACTGGCAGGATCATCAGGCAGATATAAACAGACTTGTGTCCAATTTGCACCAGCCTACCTCCAGGTCCGCATAAAAAAAAACCCAAAAAGAATGGGGTCCATCCTCTTCCGTTTAGGTGGAGTGGACCCGAGGGTAGTTGGTGTAAACAGACAGTAGAGTCCTTTCACTCTTGGTTGCTTTTAGAGCACAGAAGGGTCTGTCTGCATCCACTCTGCAGAAACTTAACAGACAATGATGTGTCATCCGCCCAATCTGCCCCGATCAGCAGGGGATCTGTAAGGTGTTCTCCCTCTGATTGGAATGGAATCTGCCCTGTTTGAAAAGGGCCAAAGTCGAACACTTTGTGCTTCCTCTTGGGAGATAGCAGTAGATGCCCACAGTTTACCTTGGATAAGGTAGGGGCAGGGACGGACTGACCATTGGGGAACTCAGGCACTGGGTCAGTAGGGGGCCCCATGAGATGTCCCTGGTACCTTTCATAGGCTTTTTTGGGTGTGGTTTGAGTGTGGATGAGGACACAGGGGGCCCATGATCCCCTATTGCCCGGGGGCCCCATGAGTTGTCAGTCCGCCCCTGGGTAGGGGTAAAGTGTCCTCTTTGAAGCCTCCCTTAAATATGGCTCTTTCTCACTTCCAGCACCCCAACACTTCTCCTTCTAACGCATAGCACTCCAACACCTCACTTTCTTTTATTCCTCCCATGCCATGTCACATGCAGTAGATGGCAGGGATGGCCTACTGTGCAAAAAAAATGACCTCCATCAATCTTAAAGGCCGATCCCTGGTCTGGTTTGACAATCTATTGAAAGCTCAAAGGTGTCTGATTAATATCACATGGTTATGGATTAAAAAAGTGAAGAATGCTTTTGTCTATTCGATATTATAAAGCACATTTCCATGTGCTCTGAGGTGAGAGTTCTGTGAGAACTGAGGTGTTTGGGATACCACCACAAGAAGAAAACATGAATTATGGAAGAATCTTTATTACATAATATTAATTGATTGATTTTACATTTATGGACTCATTATGGGCGTTTAATTCAGTTATGTCACTTTTTCATTTTTAGTAGCTATTATATAGCAGCTCTACATCACTTATTTATTTTTTGTGTGTAAAGCCTGTCATACGTGGGTCGAATTCTAAAAGAATTTTCACTTGAAAATCTTTTCTGAGCATTTTCATTTGAATTTCGCACCATTAGTGGGTTACAGCAATAGCTGATTTTTGAGCAACCATAGTATTTCAGTGATAGGGCATGTTGGAAATTTTTTTAAAATGAGTAAATTTCTAATCAATGATGGGAGAATCGTGCGAGAAATGTAATTGAAAAATAAATAGGCATGAGCTGTGACCTGGAAAGAAATGAAAATTCTTGGCCATGAAAATTCTGTACTGTAGCTACATGTGGTGAAATTGAAGGCTTGTTTGGTCGAATTTTTAAGTCAATGGTGACACCATCGGATTACAAAATGCACAAAATTTCTGATTCTTTAAAGAAAATTAGTTCAGAATTCGACCCATGTATTACCTGCATAAGAGCAGGGTTGATATGCACCTTTAACCTCCCTGGAGGTATTTCCGAGTGTAGCTCGGGGTAAAGTTTCAGCACCACAAGTGGTAATCCTGAGCTACAATCGGGAATACCCTGCAGCGTTGCTCCGGGATCTCTTCTTCACTTACCTTGTCCTGCGCTCCCGCGATGTCCCCGGCAATGTCCTCCGGCGGATGCCGGCATCTGTCTTCCGGGTTCCGTCCCCTGCGACATCAGGGCGTACGGGGATGGAACTGGCGGGAAATTTAAAAATGTCAAAAAGTGACATTCACAAAATACACTAAAATCACATAGTAAAACATTACTGTATCAAACCATTTCACATACATTTGTCCCTAGTGCTTTGTCCTGTGCCCTGACTGCATTTTTTACTGTTCTTTCTGCCTGGAAACTGAGAAAAAGTCCATGTCGTCCAAAAAGCGTCCCTTTAGGTCAAAATCGGTTTTAGACCAGCTAGAGAACAGTGATAGTAAATTAGAACTACTTGCTGAATTGAGTGATAATGATTCGTGGGAAATTCGTCATCAGACACTGAAAACGATTTTGCAACTTTGCTCAGTGATGTGCGAACTTGGCGCTATATTTCAAATTTCAGTGTCTTTGGTTTGATTATATTATTGAATTAAATTTATTATTAATATATTATTTTTTTTTATGATTACTTATTAAATTATAATTTATGATTTTGTGTTTCAAATTTTAACATACCTGGGATGTTTACTAGATTCTTGTTCGGACAGATTTCAGTGAGTTATTCCTAAAAATTACTGGCCTACAATAAAAAAACTACATATTTTCATGCAAAAAAATGTACAGCTCTGAACACAGAAATATGGACATAATCATACCACTAGGGAGGCTACGGAGGAGGAAATGAGTCAGGGACTTTCTGCTAGATTATATGGGAGGGGTTGCAATGGCAAAATAAACAAAGGCTGCTGTTCCCCCCTAGCGAGGAGGAGGTAAAGGATGAAATATCAATGCTTTGAAAGAGAGTTTCTGTTATGAGCCCCTGTGAAAGAGTACATGCTTTTGGTTGTCTCATCAAGCTACTCCTCTCACCAAGCTCTTTGGTGCAGTCATGATTCCTCATCAAGGCGGTACCCAAATGGCTGGAACTTTAACCACATATGATACACTGGAGGCAGAGGCTGCAGACTATAATAATGCTGTTGGCAGATGATACAGTAAAAAAGGTGCTGTAGTGCTCTTTCTATTTGCTGCCTATTTAATTGCTCATGTACTGTCCTGATGCTAGCCAAATTCTAATTGAATTTCTTTTAGTAAACTGTTAAAACAATGTAGTGTGGTACTGGGAAAAAAGAAGGTTACAAATTATTAAACTGTATTGCCACTGGTTAATTGGTACAAAGTTGAGGGCTTATTTTTTTACTTCAATAGTAAACTTTAAAATCTGTTGTGTCTCATACTTCCACCACTCAATTCAATCCTATTACTCCTGGATAAAAACAAAAAAAGTGTTAAAACCAAAACTACTGGAAAAAAACAAATTTTTCATATTGTAATGAATAGAATTAGGATTTTTCTATAGGAGACACTGTAGACGGAGGTAATGCCTGCTCTAGAAAATAGAGAAAGATTTTTCTTTTCTGAAACAAAGGTGCATTAATGGTACAGTGTATTAGCACATAGGGAATCTGGAATTTACAAAAAAAAGATGAACTTATTATTTAAAGTTTGCCGTTTTCAGACCTTACCATGAGTACAATAAATAGCCAAAAACTAAACCCAGAGCTCATTTCTACACTCAGTGCATGCCACACCCTTCTGAAATCTGCAAACATTATCTTGAATGGATCTTTTGAGCTGACACACAAAAAACACTTTTCAATGCATTGGTTTGGTTTGCTACATCATACTCCAAGGGATATTGCCAGCAGTGTCTGATGCTACAAACCAATTTTCACTGTTCTGTCTAGCAGGCTATTTTGTTGGGAAAGTATTAGAAAGCAAGACAGACATAGCCTAGCCTGGATCATTCAGTGCCCCTGTGTATGAAGCTTAAAATCCAATCAATCACACTGGTGTTGTGCATAGAAGATAGGAAGCCAGTAAGGAAGTAAGAAATGTTATGTTGTAGAAAAGAAACACACAATGATAATTGCTTTTTCCTATAAACCTTAGCAGATTTGGGGTGGTTTTGAGCACCAAGCAAAATAATCAAAACCTTGAACTGTGCAACTATCTTTTGCCGATGATTATTTGAGATGCATTTTACACATGTTTATGATATATTAACCATGTATTTTAGATGTGTTAGTCATATATTCACGTTGACCTTTATGGAGGAATAAAGACAAATGAGAAAAGGATTGTAACTTGGCCTGAAGGTATCTCATAGACTTCTGTGCTCTCCACTCTCCAAAAACTACCTATTTATCAGTAAATCAGCGGGGGACACCTAATATACAGTATATATATATATATATATATATATATATATATATATATATATGTGTGTGTGTGTGTATATGCATTTAAAAGTTTAATGTAAATAAGCTTAACAGTCTGTGTTAATAAAGTTGAAGCCTTATTTCTATGTACCTATAGTTTGTAATTACATGAGGTCTCCCTTATTTGCTCATTGCACATGCAGAATTTGCTTCCTGTATGGTAGTGCTTTAAAATGTAGTAACCTGCTGATCTTATTCCAAACAATATGTCTTTGCAGATTCTAATGATGAGAAAATACCCATAATGCTCTTGGCAGCCAAAGGCCAAAAACCTAAGCTCTCTGGGTCTATAACATATGAACAACAATTTTGTTTTTTTCACGCCAAGCAAGAGATCATTTTTTTATGTAAAATACTAATCTGATTCAGCAACACTGATATGTGTCATATTAATTTATGAATTGTAATGACAGGTCTGCTTTAGAGTTTATTACCTTGTTTGACACAATCACATTTGAAAACATCTGAATCTTGTTAAACCTACCATATATGCTGCTGAACAAGGAACATTCATTCATTCTTGTTACAAACCACAGAGATTAAATAACATTTTCCACTCTGCCAAACAAAACACAAGGGTGTTAACAACTACAATGCAGTGTGCTTTGTAACACCGGAGATAATACATCTGTGTTATTACAATAGAAAGGTGCAGATGCTTCACACCTTCTGTTTGTACAGACTGTGTATGTATCCTAAAAATAGCTGGTGATGAATAAGCAAACAATCCACATTCAACAATCAAATCATATTGAGCTGAAATGCATATAAATAGCCTTTTAAACAATATGCTTTCCATTATCATAAATCATCTGTTTTCTGACATTGTGTTAGGAGTATTGGAGTCCACTGGAGAAGCAGTATGGTCATTGGTAGTCACATTTCACAGACATCACACCATTTAAAATCTATACAAACATGGCAAATATGTGATTCTCATAAATTTCATTTTGTTACAACTGTCAGTACATAAAAATAATCAGATGTAACCATCTGTTAGAACTTTTGTGCATCAACATTTGTAAGTACAACATATGCGTGCTAGCAGCTCATCCTAGTTTTAATAGATGAACCCTTTTACGGCTTAACAGGCATTTCAAAACATTAATATTCAGAAGTGTGACTTTGTGAAAATTGAATCTCTAAAACTTGAAGATGAATGCAGTAATGAACAATGTAAATGAGGAAAGCTTGAGAGACTTATTAGCCAAAGTATCAGAGCCTCATGGCCCTTGGGACAACAGAAGAGATTCTACAGGTTAAGACTCAGCAGACTTCCTGCATGTTAAGGAAAAGGTAATTCTTTTGAGGATACATTTTGTAAAAAGAGGACAACTGGCTCACAAGAGGCATGAAAGAGGCAATTTTCATCAAAATCAAACAAATCTCTGTAAACAGGGGTGGGGACCTTCCACAAGATCTGTCTTCCACGTATAATGCCATTTTAAACATCTCTATCCCAGCAATTTGACATAAATGTGCATCTTTAGCCAAGTAAATTAAGGATTTAACACCTATGCAGACATTCCGACACCAATGGTGGGAACTGAGAACATGGTAGTTCCACAACTGGAACAAGTGTGGTTTCACAACTTTCACACTTCATATCATCTTCCTGGACAATCAACATCTATGCTTTCCATGGTAATTGGATTAAGGTGTCTGTGCTA